TCAGCTGTACACCTACACCTTATGGACAAAGGACTTTCTTTTGAGGACCAGAATGTTCACATTTTGGAAAAAGAAGACAGGTGGTTTGAAAGGGGTGTGAAGGAAGTCATTTATGTTAAGAGAGAAAATCCAACCTTAAACAGAGAGGGTGGACTAATATTTCGGCACTCAAAAACCTACAATGCAGCAATAGACTTGATTCCTTCCCACTATCATAATCCTCGTGGCCATGCAGGGGACCAAGACAACTCGCCTGGTCAGTCATGCAAAAACGCTCCTAACGACTCCCACCTTTCAAATGCATAGACCAGTATCTTGTATTTCAGGCTAACTAAGACCTAAACGCTCCCTATTATTAAGGGACGGACCTGTTTGTCCGGTTCAATTTGCCTCATTTTTAAGCCAAAACAAGGCTTTGTTTGGGCTGCTCTATAAAGCTTGGAACTCAATGCTAATTCTGAGGTTTTTGAATTGAAAAAGCTTCCTGGGTGGGAAGCAGAATGTCTTCATGGAAAGAAAAGTCCAGTGGTTTGTTTGCTTTAGCTTTTTTTTTTTTTTTTTGAAAGCTCATAGCAACCACAAACAAGCTTAAATTGGAATGCAGCCAGAATTATGCTCAGTTTTTTTAAGATACCCATACAGGAGTCTTTGACAATTCTGTTGGATTGCACCAGAACAAACTCTAGTTGGAGTGATGATGTATTTAAGCAGTATGGAGGACCACCCTCCTGCACAAATCCCAAATCAGATGTTAATCTTATAGCCACCCTTTGTTCTTCTGGATTGCTGGAGCCCTTTGTTGTGCTTGGCCTCTCTGATTGGTCTTTTGAATCATAATAGGACTGCTTATGTTACATCTTGGGAATGAGTTTCATGAATGAATTGTAAATGCTTGGAAGCTGAAACTGCAATTCACCCCCTATTTTCGATGATGGCTTTTCTCTTTTCACAAGGTTAGCTTCCGATATGCCTTTTTAAAACTGTCTGTCTTATTGGTCTGTATGTGTAAGTTTGCAGTAAATCTCAGTATTAGTGTCAGGATTTGGTTACTGAGTGTTGACCCAAAAGCAGAGGCAGGAAGGCAGAGGTGAATTTCTTTAGATTTAATTAAAAAAGGAAACTGAAAATAAAGGCAGGTTATCCAAAAATCCAATAATGAAAACAAAGTCCAAACAAGCATCAAATCAGAAGTCCAAAAATCCAAAAGAATCAAACATAAAAACTAGTCAAAACGAACCAGAAACCGTGGAGACATCAGGGGAATCACTGTCACAACGAGGAAGACTCAGGAAGACGGAATTGGGGGAAGTTTGACAAAGTTTGGTAGTGTTTGACCAGGACCCAGCAAAGGGGAACTGAAGAGAGAGGGCTTTTAAAGGAGACAGAGACAAAGAGGGGGCTACTGTAATGAGGAAACTGGGAGCAGGTGTGCACAGAACAAGATGGAGAGAGCTAGGGAAGAAGGAGAACACAAGAGGGCAGCAGAGAGCAAAAAATAGAAACCTGGAAGACTGGAAATAACACAATGTTAAATTACTAGGACTATAAAACATGGAGAAAAGAAAAACTAAACACTCAAAAGAAAACATAACAGAACCCAGACTAGGACAGTAACTGGAAAAAACCAAAGAACACAGCAAGGAGTAAAGCAAGACTGAATACTATAACAGAAACCTGACAATTAGGACTTCCATTGTCTTCAATATGAACAGCACAGCTCAGAAATGGCAACATGTTGTTCTTGGCATCCTCTCTAGTGAACTTGATGTTTCTGTCCATTGAGTTGTGATTGGAGAATGCCTCAACTTCATTGGTTTAAAATTTTGACCCAGGTGTCATCCGCATATCTGAACCAGTTAGATGGATGTATTCCCTTGTATTTGATGAGTGCCCTGCTCTCCATCCCTTCCATATAGGTATTGGTACAATGGGCAAAACTTGGGAGCCCATGGTGGACACATGTTTCTGTCGATAAAAGCTATCACTGTATTTGATGTTTATGGGTGATACACAGAGAACCAACAGGTTACAAAACTGGTTAGGTTTTAGAGTGGTCATGTCTTTCAGCGTTTCTTCATGTTCCAATTGCATCCATTTTTTTGCCTGGTCGCTCCTCTTTTGAACGACCAGTCCTGACCCGACAGGTGGTTCCACTGCTGTTTGGAAGCTGTGTGGCTGCCTGCCTGAGCCACTGTTATGAAGTTGTCAGCTGCTCCTAAGAGGAGAAGTCCTCTTATAGGTGGGGAGTGGCGGTCCAATGGTAAGGGCATTGCGCTTCGAATCCAGAGATTCTGAGTTCAAGCCCCACTCCCACAGATTGCCACTCTGGGTCCCTGAGCAAACATTCTTATCCCCACACTGCCCCCCTGGGTGTTAGGTTTCTGTTTCTGTTATGATTTTCCTTTTAGTATTCAGTCCTCTTGGTTTTCCATTTGTTGTCCTCTGCTGCCCTCTTGTGTCCTCTTTCCCTTGCTCTGTTTTCTGCTCTGCCCTCACCTGTTTTCAATTCCCTCGTTAGCCCACTCTTTGTCTCTGTCCCCTTTAAAAGCCCTCCCTCTTCATTTCCTGTTTGCTGGATCCTCGTCTAACGTCTGTCTGCCTTCCTCGTCTCTCCCTGGTTCCTAGAGTTTGGTTTCCCCCTGATGTCTCCTTGGTTCTGGTTCGTTGTTATTTTGTTGGATTTTTTTTGACTCCTGCCTCAGTTCCTGTGAACCTTATTAAACCCACTTAAATTCACCTCTGCCTACTTGCCTCTGCATTTGGGTCCTCAAACCGACACGCCTCATGACACCGGGAGCTGCACAATGGCAGCTCACTGCTCCCCATGGGGATGGGCAAATGCAAAGAGTTAATTTCGTTGCTGTGTACTAGTGAAAATGCAATGAAAGTTTTAAAAAAAGCTAAAAAAGTTATAGTGTAATTGCTGCAAGTGATCAAACAATTTTGGCCCTGCAGACCTTTCCCTGTTTTGCATCAGACCAATTCAAGTCATTCCAAGATCTGCCAGTTCGAAAGGGTTTGTGAGCCAAACCGGGAGGGACATCCTTCCTTGCTTTCCAACTGAATCAACAAATAAACCCCCTTTTTCTTTAAAAAAAAAAACAAAAAACTGATACTTAGCCATAGTCTAAATTATTAAATACGGTGTTACAAACGACACCTATTTTTTGCCAGTCCAGGAGTCCCTCCTTGGGTTAAAGTTAAAGAACCTTGGTGGCCTCACTTTACTTATTTACTTATTCGGTCTTGGCATGGCCGGGTCCCACAGGGATGAACCTGATGACCAGAGGCTCGCTGATGAACCCTAACCCCAGGCCTGGCTCCAGGGTAAGATCCTGACTCTGATGTCAGTTGCTTTGATTTTTCTGGTAATCATAAAATCTTTTAAAAAAAAAATCCTTTGCTTCACCTGTCATCCAGATCCTGTTTGCTTTGGAAGACCCTATCACTGACACTTAAGCCCCCAACAACACAGCATCTGGACTCATCCCGGAGCTGATACCCCTTCACCATGCTAAGGCGGCCATTCAAAAATGACAGATCAAGAAATGCTTGTGTTTTCAGACTAGCATAATCCTTGTCTGTTGCCATGGCATAATGTTGTCTGCAATGCTAAAAACAATGCTAAATGCAATAAAAAAAAAAAAAGAATTCAGTAAAGCAGTATGGAGCACTTTTTTCCTACACCAGTTTTTCTCAATGTTTCTTCTCTTATGGTATGTTCTATTGGTCCCTTGACAGTTGAAAAGAACCCATTGACTACAGGAACAATATTGTTGCACATTCAGGGTGTTTTAGGTGTTAGGCGTCCAGAGCTTCACAGGGATTTGTTTTAGAATTTTAGCATATTGTATCAAACACTCAGTAATTTGGGGAGTGTAGCCTAGTGGTTAGTAGCCTGACGTAGTCCTACTCAATTCTAGTCAGAATATGAGTCTGATACTGCTCCATAGAGCTGTGATTATGGGGCGTGTTTTGAACGAACCAGGAAAAAAAATGCCTCTGCACTCAATTGGATAGACCTACAACCAATAAGAGCAACGGAGTGCGTGACGTATGTTAACCGACGCATAGTTGTTGTCAACAAAAAATCAAAGCGTGCAGTTGCAAGCCTAGAATAAGAAGATGAGCCTTGATCGCATTTCTCTGTTCCTCTTTTAAAATTAATTTGCTGTCAATATCTTCTAGAACAGACCTAATAGCAGAATCTACTCACCTAAACTCTCCGGCGGCAGACATTGTTGTTGTCACCCAAGCGCGCTTTGGTCACGTGGTTAATTACGTTACTGTTGATCATCTGTCCATCATCGTATAAAGCCCGCCCTGACAATTTGATTGTCAGAGAGTGGGCGATCATACTCGCGCTACTATGGAGCAATGCCAGACCGAACTTCCCGACCTCAAACCTTGTGGGCGGGACTAAGTTCGGAATGGCACCCAGGCTAAGTGGTTAAGGCATCGCGCTTGAAATCCAGAGGTTCTGAGTTCAAGCCCCACTTCCACGGATTGACATTCTGGGTCCCTAAGCAAGACCCTTAACCCCACACTGCTCCCCGGGAGCTGCACAATGGGAGCCCATTGTACCCAAAGGGGATGGGTTAAATGCTGAGAGTTTATTTTATTGCTTTGTACTTGTGAAAATGCAATGACAATAAAAAAAATAGCTGAAAAAATATTAAACTGCTTCAATAATTTTTGCTATTTTTTCTGAGAAATTAAAATACATAAGGGATAATGATGAGTGTTTTATGCTTTTCAGGATATTTTATGTTTTGTAAAAATGCAATTAAAGTGTTTTAAATTCTTATACTGAGATAGACAGAAACACCAAGGAACAATAGATGAAGAGAATTAATGAGGAACCGATCAGTATGTGTTATTTAGAAAATAATATTTTGAATATAACTTTCAGTTGCTTGTTCAGACAGCTGATTTCAGGCTTTAAAGCTTCTGTGGATGGGAGCACTGATGGGATGCTGGAGAAGGCAGCAGTGAGGAGAGAGAGCAGAGCATCGAAACAGGGACTTCCCTTAGCCTCCATCATCTGCAGGGAGGGAAAAAAGACATTCACACACACACTGCCTCCCACGTACACACACACACGCACACTGTGTCGAGCACTAGCAAGAGGCTTCACACGAAATCCAGACAAAGGGACTGTAACCTGCAACGATGGAGGAAAATATGGATGAATCCCAGAGCCAGAAAGGTAGGAAGGAAGATGCATTTCTCTATTTAAGTCTTTCATCAGCTCCCGAATTATCCATTGTTCTATTCCTTCATCCCTCTCGGTATCATGGGAGTCCTTTGTGTGTGCAGTGGGCAGATATGAAACAGGCAGTGTTCACATCCTGCAGAAAAAACATAACATTTTCTTTTTATTTCAGTTTTTTCCTGATTTAGTGTTGAGAAATAGTTTTCCTCATTGTCGTTCTGAGCAGAAACGATGAGACAAGGCGTGAATTTTAATGAAGTCGTCTCCATGTCTGTTCCTGATCCCATTTTGGGATAATCAGAGCCTGTTTTCCAGAGTGCTTCGTTGAATGGAAGCATAAATAAGCAGAATGTTTGGGCTGAGGTTGAAAGGAGATGACAGACACTGGAGGTTCGTGTTGTTTTGGAGGCTGGACGGACAGATGGACGGCCAGATGGATGGATGGATGGATGGAGGAGGTGGGAGTGGCTCGGGGGAGGAAAGGGGGAGAGAAAGGGTGGGAGCGTGGGGCAAAAGCATGAAATAAGGACTAAAAATGTGCGGGAGGGGGATAAGTGGGGCAGTGATTGATGCCTCCACTGGGATTTTCTTTGTTAGCCTCCATTGTTGCTTCTTTACGCTTGTCTGAACGCCTTTTCCTCTCCCCTCTGCACGTCTCCCCCAGTTTCTTTCATGTCTTACACTCCTCATCCTTTCCCTCCATTTTCTCCTTATCTTGTCTTTGGAGGCCATTCCTTGGATTTTCCAAACTCGGATGACATTTTTTGCATCCATCATCCTCCTTCTTCATTTCTGGGCCTAAATTTTCATCTTGGTTCATCTCATACTGACAGTTCCCTCCCTTTACTGTCTTCTCTCTCTCTCTCCATTTGCTTTGTTGTTGTTGTTTATTTACCTTTTGCAACTTTTCCCCTAAAAGTTAAATTCTTCAACTCCAGTTTAGCATTTAAAAAATAGATATGTATATATCTATTTTTTCAATGTCCAGAAATAATTTCAATTATTATTGTTGTTGTTGTTGTCGTTGGTGCTAAAAATGGGCGTGTCCCTCATTTTCATCACACCTTTGCTCTTCCACACATGAAGTGCAGTTTTACAAATAAAGAAAATCTGAGACGTTTTAACAGAACTTAGAGGATTTCCTTCTGATGTTTCTTTATAAACATTATTAACACTGTATCTATGGAAACATCACAGTGGCATTGTCTTCTACTGTGTGATAGGTTGATTTGTGTGCTTTTTCTGGAAGAAACCACTTCCAGCCAATTGGAGAGCTTACTGGCGATACTCGGTTCGCTCATGCAAACATCATTTTTCAACCCAATACCTTTTTTTTTCTCTACATCTTACCTCCTCTCCTTCTGTTCATCCACTGATCCAGTTCCCTTTCCGACTGCAGGTGTCCTCCTCCCCATCTTCATCTCTTTTGTTTATAGTCCCTGTAATGTTTTCATTGTTTTTTCCAATCCAAAAAATATGTGACTCACCATTAAATGTGATAAACTGAGGTGGGTGAGAGGAGGACAGAAATAAAGTAAATTGTTTCTTGTGAAATGCGGAAAACCTGAACAGTTTTTCTTTGTTGGGGAGGCTGCATTTTAGTTTTGGTGTCCTAAAATGTGAATAACGGTGAAATCGTTCAGACTCTGAGCCTTGATGTTAACAGGCTGAGCTGATTGGCCCAGTGACATCATTACCCGTTAATAACACTCTGTCTCACGCCTCACTTATAGTCATGTTATATAATACTGTCAAACAGTTTGGTCCAACCGACATTTTACAGTCGAGGTTTAGAAAATATTACAGTTTTCAGTTGCAATCTGTCAAATAATAGTGTCTTTCGAGAAAGAAAATAACTCACACAGTTATTGTGTCTTTTAACTTTAAAAGTAATACAATGTTTGGTGACTCTAAAACTAAGACCTGGTTGATGCCAAAAATAAATCTTATTATTTTGATTATTCAGTTAAATTCTCAATTTTTATATATGTCAACACTCCATTGAGTTTTTGAAGTTTTTAGATATTTGTATGATTCAGACATGTTTGTAATTATCTTTTCTTAGCAGAATACAGAACAGATAAAAGCAGTTTTGATTTCTTTTAACACAAACATGAAAGTTAGACAGATCCAGCCAGCAGGACGAATGTTTTTTAATAAAGCATCATAGTGCAAACCCTTCATCAGCATCACCAGTTAGGACAATTAAATTAAGTCATTTTTAAGAAGCTCGGTCCTTAGATGAAGAAATCAACCATCTTTACTAGGGATGCACGATATAATCGGCCCCCTATCGGTATCGGCCTGTATCAGCCTTAAAACTGAATATCGGACATCGGCCACCCCACCGATATTTAACCCAATATTTGATCAGCTTCTGAGTTTTTAAAGTCTAAAAAAAAACTACTTCTTCTTCCTCAAAAACTTCTTTTTTACAGACCTAAAAACTTCTAAAGACGAGGGAAAAAATATTGATACATTAAAATATCACAATATCTTCATATGCTGATATATTGCCATTTAAAAACACCATATCAATCTCTTTTACTAATGAAATATTGCTATATGTCATCGTTATGCTACGAAATCCCCCGAAAATTCACAAAATGTTGCCATATTTTTATACGTAGATATATTGACGCGGTATCGATCTATTTTACTAACAAAATCTCACAAGAATTTGCAAAATATCACGAGAGTTTGTAACAGAACGATGAAATTTCGCGTGATTTTGAAAGTAAAATAGATCGATACCGCGTTTTTAAAAATCAATTTGATATCAGCATACGAAAATATATTTGAGTATATTATTTTTCAAAGTGCCAGAAATGGATAACAAAACTGCTATTTTCAATGACTACTTATTTTTGTCCAGCTTTAACATCAGTATCGATATCGGTTATCGGCTACATGAGTTTTAAAATATCAGCATATCGGCCAAAATCCCAATATCGTGCATCCCTAACCTTTACTGTTAATATTCCATAAGCTGTAATGCACTGTGAAAACTATTTACATCCCAACGGTGTCAAAGAACTGCAACCAAACTTACTGCAAAACAGTCAGGAGGTGACACATCATGACAACTTAAAAAAGCATCTGTATTAAGAAGAGCAACTTATTTATAACATAGTGAGATCCAGAAACAAAGCATAATCTTTTTATTAAACCAGTATGACTATAAGTTTGAAGTAAAAAAAATAAATAAGATGAGACATTTTTAAAACCAATATTATGGAAATGTTGCTTCAGATGGTGTGCTGCTGCCTCCATAGAAGCTAAATGAGGTTGAATTTAATAATGATATTGACACAATGATAGTCTAAAGCAGGGGTCACCAACTTTTTTAAGGCTGAGGGCTGATTTATGGGTACTGAGTCATAGGACGGGCTACCAATATTGACCTATGAACTAGAGGAGTTGGCGTTCACCTGAACTTCATAGATAATAAACATATTTCTATTGTTTCTTTTCATTTTTAATTTGCTTTTAGATATTCTCATTATGAAATCCATATAAATCCTCAAATGTTCTAATTTATTGATATGATAAAATGCTTCATAAATGTTTCAAAATAAGAGCTTCAGTAAAAAAATAACATTTCAGATTTAGTCCACTGGTGAATTGTTCTGTTTTCAAAAGATACTGAGGGCACCCCATGTTGTCCTTGAGGGCCCCTTGGTGCCCATGGGCACCACGTTTGTGGCCCCTGGTCTAAAGGTTGTTCAGCGTAAATTTAAGATGTGAATTACCTTTAATGACCTACAGGGGCGCTCATTTAAGTGAAAACTGGATTGAAGCACCAGTATTATCTCCAACCACCTGTGTGTTTTGTGGGTGTGGATTGGTGGACTGGAGGGACGGTCAAACTTTAGTTTATCTTTGTTCATGTTATAAAGGCTCCCCATCCAGCTGATGCTTTCTACAGATGTGAGCAGAAGATATGGAGCAGAGACATCATAGAGCCACGCTGAGAACCTCCGCAGCTTCATCAAGGTCCATGAAGCTCAGAGAAGCCAAATGGAAAACACCTGGAGAAGCAGATGTTATACAGAACCTACTACTAAATGTTTTGGTTTTTATAGAGAGATTTAAACTGCACTGAAATGGAAAGTGATTTGTTCTGGTTGAAACCACAGGATATAAACCATCAATATTTAATAGCTCATTCTGAGCTGACTTCCTTCCTTTTGGCAACTGCAAAAACTGATCTAAAATTAAGAGAAGACTTCTTAAAAAGTTTATATACTTTATAACTTGAGCAGATAAATAAGGTGATTCGCCAATGGAATTAGTTTTTTTGCCCTTAAAATAAGAAATAAGATACATACATTTAAATCATTTGGTTTAATTTTTTTTACTTTACTGCTTAAAACAATGAAAAATACCTTTAATAAAAAGGGACTTACTTAGATTTCAGTTTTTGCCGTGCAAACAGAAGGAAAACTGTTAAATAAATTATATTACTTACAATAGGAAAAAATGCATTCCTCTAAATAAAAAAGATTTATGGACCTTCATAGGTTTTTTCAAATGAAATCTGTTTGTAACAAGGTTATTAAAGCATCTCTGAGAGGTTTTATATCTGCAAATGCTCCAATAAACACATCATGAGCTAATTATGTCATCAGATGCAGTTTTCATCTGCAAATCTAAGGGGTTGTTTCACAAATCACATTTCCTCCTCCTCTCCTGTCACTTTAATGCCGAAATCGATCATCTGCTGTGACTTACCTCCATCTTCTGTTCTTCTTTTATTTATATATCTTACTAGTGATGCTTTAAGTTGTGATAAAAAAAAAAGCTGGATGTTTTTATTTTGGTTAAATAGGTCTAATACTGATTTTTTTCAATTGCATCCTAAACCAGGCTGATCATTGATGGATTGAAGAAAATAGTAGTAGTTTCTCACGTTGTTCCTCTGCAGAAAAAACATCTAGAACAAATCAAAGAGTGTTTTGATTTTATCTCTATGGGTCTCTGACCTCCTATTG